ACCGAACTTTCCGTCAAAGATATAAAGATAAGCTAAGTAATTAAGGGTTAAAATGGAAGCGTTAAATATACTAGACTTGAAGTGCTGAACACTAGACACTATAGTCAAAATCTCAACTGATTTTCTTTAAAATAAGTTCCATATAAGATCAATGTGAGGGCTATTATTATTCATTCATGGGCTAAAAGTAAGTGATCCTAAACAAACAGAATGTATTCTTAAGGATTATATGAAAAATATATAACAAGATAGTATACTTGAAATTATTTAGGTTAGTAAGCTGCTAAGTTCGAAAGAAACTACTGAAATAAAAACTGATTACATTTATAAACGATCAAATTCTTATTGAAATAAAGCATTTGGGTATATAGTAAGTTACGCACCTGCTAAAGCCTAAGGTGAAGCAAGAGATCAATCACGTTGATGAACGGATGAAGGCTTAGTTGCTAGTTGAGGAGGTTCGCACTCATCTGAGTACTGATGTGGATATTGTTGAGCGCTGGATCGACCAAGACGTAAGCGAGATTCAGATGAACCCAGATCAATGCTTTCAACCATCGTAGACACGGTAGCAGAGGCGACATTTAGCAAGTCTAGTGCACAGCCTGTCTGAGCTGCATCAATTCGAGGTCTTCGCCTCTGCCGCCTAGAATGGGGAGCTGAAAGAGATATAATGGATTCGTCTGCTTGTGCGTCGAATCCTGGAACCTCTCTTTCCTTAACAAGCTCTTCCTCCGCTTCATCATCCCCATCACTTTCTGTAGAAGTCGTCCTACTGAGCCATGGAGTCTCTACAGCGAATGGAGGCTGTTGAAGACGAGTTGGAGAAACACTGGAGTGGAATATACGGGTCTCCACCGGACCATGATGGTTGCGCCTTAGGGAAACTGAGTCTCCTGCCTCACAACTTGATGGCTTCTTCGACCCATATGCCGACGCACTATCATCTTCCTCGGAACCAGCTTGAGCGGAAAAGATAGTATCAACAGAGCAAGGGGAGGCGCCGCTGGCCAAGTCCCGACTAAGGCGTCCTCGACGATGAGAGGCAGGTAAATGAGATCCATGAGCTCTAGCTGTAGAACTGCTTCCCCTGCGAACACCACTGTAAATGCCTGGCTTTGACCTGTCAAGTTGTTTATGAGACGGAACTAGAAAAAAGAATATGAACAAGAAGGTTAATCTAGCTTGAAAAAGACAAATGTGATAATGTACCCAGCCAGTGGTCCAATACTGGACCACGAATACTATGGCAGAGGACAAGGGACTAAATACGCTCCACAAGGTCTCCGTGACGCTCCGACTAAGTTGTGAAAACAAGGTCGAACCAACACAGTAAAGCTAAGACAGAGTTTGACAAAGCAGAAGGCCATACCATCTTGGTTTTCATATCTACGATATCATTATATATTTCTCTATACATAAAGAGAAACAGGTTTTCAAGGATTGCTTCAATTTAAGCATCCCAAATTAAACCAAACGACTAC